CGTACAGCCACGTAGTCCCATAGAGAAGGATGGGGGCTGCGTACCAATCACACGCAGCACCTGTCCTTCCCGGGAGCTGCGTGATACGGCCGCACATGCAGCACGGAGCTGTACGTGCCCGCCGATTACAGTGTGAATGAGGCCTTAAACTCATGGTGAGATGCAGCCACAAGTCTTGGAAGCGCTCATTGAAGTTTTAGCAGGCCTTTGTTCTGTAGATAGGCATCGGAGACAAAGGTGACACAATGGCTCGAAGAATTGGATCGCTCATTGTGATGATGCCACTCATCAGCATTCAGAACATCTGGCTGCTGATTGGATGAATGGTCACAGAGGTGAGGTATGGGGGAATGACTTAAAAGTATTAGTTCAGCTCAAGCAGAAAAGGAAGATGAATGACATCAGTGCCTGGATGCTGGGGAACGTAGTAGAAATGTGGATGCTGGGGAACGTAGTAGAAATGTGGATGCTGGGGAACGTAGTAGAAATGTGGATGGTGGGGAACGTAGTAGAAATGTGGATGCTGGGGAACGTAGTAGAAATGTGGATGCTGGGGAACGTAGTAGAAATGTGGATGCTGGGGAACGTAGTAGAAATGTGGATGCTGGGGAACGTAGTAGAAATGTGGATGCTGGGGAACGTAGTAGAAATGTGGATGCTGGTGACTTAGGAGTAGGACGTTGTCACCTCCCCGTGCTAAGACGTTTATTCCACTCGCTGGTCTCATCATGTCGCCATTGATCAGGTTCATGATGATCCTTCAGTCAGATCTTCATCTACATCACCTTGAAGGCCATCGGTTGAGTCATGACCAACCTGTCTACTTCTATACACCGAGCACGTGCTATTCCTGTTGCCAAATTTCCCCTCCCGTAGATGCACTTGTAACCAGAGCCGAGCCTCCGCCACTCCTTGCCGAACTACAAATCAGGGCTTGCTGGGATATGTAGTTCCTCAGGGCCTGGAGGTCTAGCAACGGCCTACCTCTAAACCTAAATCTTCAGTCTATTGCCTTAAACTGCCCCATCAGCAGCCCGAGTTATTCCTTCTTTGCTTCTATCTGTGCAGAACCCGACTCATTGTTCATCCGTTGGATATCGTGACGTCGCAGTGGGAAGCCTCCGCGCTCTGCCCCACCTTATGGCCTTACCTGCCTGTTCTTTGTCAGACCTGTGATGATGGTTAGTCTGTGTCAGAGGGAATACCTTTGTATTTTGTATACATTCAAATCTTCGTTTTGTCTGCGTGTTCTGTGAAGGGGGAGACGAGCGGCAGAGGGGGGAAGCAGCAAGCAAAACATTTTCTAACTTTTTGTAGTATTTCTTAAATGCACAATAAATTTTTGCCGTGTTCTGTACGTTACTAAAACTTGTTCCTGATCGGGATGCTCCTCATGTAACTTCACTGTGATCCTCCTCCGAAGAGCCTTGATATTCCTGAACCCCCCCAAGGCGCAAGGCTCCCGATGGGTAAGGAAAACTCTGGTCCACCTACCCGAAGGCCTGCGGACCCGATCTCAGGGTCTGGGGGGGGGGGGGGAGGGAAGGCCACAGAACCTCCCCCCTAACATCAGGAGGTGCCCCGAAGGTACCTGCACCCTCCATCAATCTGGAGTCATAAATGTGCAGTCGTGCATAAATAAATAAGTGCCAGTGCACAAACCTGGCAGGCCATGCGGCCAAGGTATAAAAATTGCCCCGGGCTAGCCAGAAGGCCTGGTGCAGAAAAATGCTTTAGGTGCCGTGACCTAGTGCAGGTGAATCACAGTGGGGTACCACACCCAAGTGATTTTCCGGCACACCTGGGACACCACCCCCGGGGGGCACAGCACTGCAGGCCTCTGCGCTCCCCCAACCCTCCGGCCAGACAAGAACAGCACCCATCCCCCATTTTTTTTCCCCTCCGAAAACTGATACTACACTTGATCTTAGCCAAGGAGGGGCAGGTGCTGTGTGTAGTTCCCTATGGGAGGACGTGGCTGCACACCGACCATATCCGTGCAGGTCCGGTTCAGCGGGCAGCCATGTCCTCTCATAGGGAGCTACAGGCGCTTGCATACAAATACACACCCGTCCCTCCCGGGAGCAGGGCCGTGCACACGTTTGACTGCCTTCATCTGGATGCTTTCATCAAATGCATTGGTTGGATAGGCCAAGGTCAGAACGGGTATAGTTTGGATGAAACCCCACTGTGCCGGTCATTCTCTCTCCAGGCTTATATTATCATCCGCTTCTGTTCTGCCAATACTGAGATAAATCATTCCCATGAATTCCTTAAACTGACCAAGTGGAAGAGACTGTCTGCCAAAATCACATGACCTGCATCCTTGTAAATGAGGCCGGTACATCGGCATGACCTGCATCCTTGTAAATGAATGGCCGGTACATCAGCATGACCTGCATCCTTGTAAATGAATGGCCGGTACATCGGCATGACCTGCATCCCTGTAAATGACTGGCCGGTACATCAGCATGACCTGCATCCCTGTAAATGAATGGCCGGTACATCGGCATGACCTGCATCCTTGTAAATGAATGGCCGGTACATCGGCATGACCTGCATCCTTGTAAATGAATGGCCGGTACATCGGCATGACCTGCATCCTTGTAAATGCACAGATGCATGGTTATGTGCACTAGACCGAAGGACAATTACCGGGGGGGGGGAGGGGGAATGCCATGGCAGAGATTACAGATGCAGGGGTGCTGTAGCGAGGAGCAGGGTAATTAGACATCCCTTTGGGAGGGGGCTCTGCATAGACACTCATATGACAGACTTTGAGGGGGATTTATCAAAACTGGAGCAGACAAAATCTGGATCAGTTACCCATGGCAACCAATCAGCTTCTCTTTCATGTTCAAATCTTAAACTGAAGAGAGAACCTGATTGGTTGCCATGCACAGCTGTTCCAGCTTTGCTAAATTCCCCCGTGTATTTTTGGGGACGTGTACAGGGCTCCAGATAATGGCGCCAACATATGGTATTAAGGTTTTATGCTAAAAAAAAAAAACATCACAAGCCGTGAGCGGAGTGTAAACTGAAATACTGATTTATTTTCACAAAAATGAACAGTTACAGAGAGTGAAAAACAAAAAACCAAGGCCTAGGAGGATACACGGTATATACACAATTACATACACATGCTCATGAGAAATGGCTGCTCCTGTCCGAACAGACAAAAAGAACAAAAAGTTAAAATGGATGCTGCGGTGATCCGTTCTCTGCGGCAAGAGGAACGCTGCTCACCTCAGCGGGGAATGCCACAGAACCTCTAAAGACACAAGTCCGTCTGTCCTGCTACAGGACACGGTACCTTTCTTCATAATAGGTGTGGCAGGGGGCCCCAATCCTGCCAGAAGTGGCCACTAGATGGCAGCACAACAACACAGGACTGCTATGAAGCTTCACCGACGGGATCCCTTTATCCGGGTGCGCAGAGACGCGTGTGCTGAGGTAGTGTTCAGGTCTCTGGAGAAGTCGGATTACAGCACGATCCACGTGTAGCGAACGCTGTCAGCCAAAACCTTCAGCGAGCAGCCTGTGGACAAACGACCGGCGTGTCAAACAGCAGCGATATGTGACCATCTACAAAAGGCAGGGGTGGGCAAACTCTGGCCCTCCAGTTGTTGAACTACAAATCCCAAGAGGCATTGCAAGTTTCTGAGCCACAAGCACGACTCCCACAGACAGATGCATCATGGGATTTGTAGTTAACCACAGCTGCCGGACTGAAGATTGCCCACCTCTGATCTAAGGGAACTGCCCCAAAAACAAAAGGCAGACCCCATTGCAGACCTTGGCTAGCTCTGGCCTGAGTCATCTCCATTCTTTCTCCACCATGAACCTGAATTAGGATGACAGCCCTTGAACTAGATATGGCAGCTCCCATCGCTCTATCCTATTTCGGTCTCAGGCTACTTGGTTCCATCACCCACCACCTTCCTAATCCAGACCACCATGGTGAGATCTTTGTACCCTGGTTTCCAGATCCTCCCACTGTTCCAGCTGCTCCCTTTCTTTGTTGGAATATCCACTTGTGGTATGTGATGAAGAAAGCAGTGAAGGGACAGAGCTGGAGACCGCAGTGCGGAGATCTCACTACCGATGTCCCTGAGAAATATAGGACTCGGACCACTGAATCTGAAATATTATATTGGACGTGCAGATCCTCTAAGACCGCAGCTTTGGCCATTCAGGGTAAAAGTGACCTAGTCCTTTCAAAGCCTATCTGCCCTCTCCAAGCTCCTCCACCCCTAGGTTACCCCAGGATGCAGTGTCAGGGGCCGAGGCACCAGGCCCAAATACTGTCATGTGAGGAGGAGGCGGATCTCATCAGCCCTGTTTAACTTCTGAAACCAACATGGAGCTTAAAAATGTGGACGGCTTCAACATAAGCGCAGAGAAGGCGAGCACAGGTGGGTCAGGGAGGGACACGGGGGCGAGCCGGCATTTATTCAGACAAGGAAAAGTGATGGGATCTCAACCTCCTGTGTAGGTCTTAAATAGCATTTTTAAAAGTTCAAGATCGCTTTGTTACCATTTTGCCCCCTTAAAAAGGGACATATACGGAGATTCTTTTCTCTGCTGATGTTCAGAATTGCAGTGACGGTAAAAAAACAGCAACGCACAACCATTGTGTAGCACTGATAAGCAACGTTCAGCATATGCACTGAGCTCATAGGACTACCCTCGGGGTGTAGAATCGCGAGTATGCTAACCCTAGTGTTATCATACCAATCAACACAAAGCCCCTGACTGATATTAAAAGAGAACTACGGGGTAAGTGTTTCCCCATAGTTCTCTTAAGGGTCACAGGTGGACATATACTAACCTCCTCCCGTATATTGCCCACGATATACTCAAAGCACCCCAGCCGGGACGGATCCTGACATTACTGACGAGATCCACCCAGCTGCGTGATTGACAGCTGGCTCTGCCTATCTAGAGGCAGAGCCAGGTGTGCCCGCCCCCTTCCCTGTCTGTTCCTCCAGTTAGCGCTGGAGGATCGGAGAGGGATTTCCTTTGGGGAGCGGTGACTGACCGGGAGATTGGAAAGTGAGCGAGTGACGGTATGTGTTCGCTCACTTCCCGTTCTATAGAACCGACGTGTGACAGTTTCATTGTAACAGGTCGGCTCCAACTAGTTCTCCTCATAGTTCTCCTTTAAACCCCCCCCCCTCCCCGTACCTTTATGCAGGGCCTCGTTAGTCATACGATGCACGAAGCGCACGCTGTTTTCTGGGACCAACCATTTCATAACGGTGTCTACGCAACTTTTCCGGTACGAGCTCCAGACACTGCCGCTGTGGGAGCAGAACAAGTCAATGCACTCTGTACACACGCAGCATTCAGGAAGACAAACCATTAGCCGACACTGGCTGATAGGACTTGCCTGGTTTGGCCTTTGACCTCAGTGAGGTCATCTACACTCAGCGTGCTGAAGACACCCGTGTCCAGGTCCCAGGCCACTTTCAGACTTGTGTGATAAGTCTTCGGCCTGCGGGGAAAGATAAATGGAGGGTCTTTGCGTGTCCTGGTCCAGAAACGGTGAGAAAAGCTGTGCGGTCACCTACCTGAGCTGAGTGTCCTCCTGAGGAGGGGGAAAAGCCAGGAGTAACAGGCCAATGTTCATGATCACCTTATTGGTCTCTGGACACATCTGAGGGGCAGAAAGACAACAGGTAAAAAACTGTACAGTATCCTATCAATGATTTCAGTAAAAACAAATCTACAATTGCCACCTATGAAATGACTTTTCCATAAAGTGATCACTGCGGAGAGCCTGAAGCCGGCTGCAGTAGTGATAGTGAACTTTGTGTACATACAGTTGTAAGATTTAGAGAATCCGTCATTTGCCTATTCAGGTCCCAGTGACAAGTTCTCTAAAAAGAAGGAAAAAAAGTGCACCCCTTCCCACCGACCGATACTCAACTCCGCACCTCTCCCCCACACTCTGTTCTTCTATTGCAGCTCTCGGAAATACCCGGAGCTTCTAGGTATGGAGACCTTCAGCCCCTCCTCCCAGGATTCAATGCCCCACCAATCAATCAACAGGCCCGAACACCGTCGCATGAGAGAGGGGAGCAGGTCATCACCTCTGTGTAACTTAGGCATGGAGCTTAAAAGGGTCATTCCACTTGCCCAGGCAAATTTGAGAAAACAGAACTACAGAACTACCCCCCACCAATCTGCCCCCTTCCCTTGGAACGAATGCTGCTTCCTCTCTGTGGCTCCCCGGTTGCGGTCCTTACACACCATTGCAGCTGTGCGATAGCTACTTCAAATTACGCTCACAGATGGTGAGCACTCATTGGGCAGCACGGTCACCTGACCAATGAGAAGCACTTAGCTTTTCATTGGTCAGTGGACCGCGCTGACCAATGAATGCTCTCCGTTTGCAAATGTAATTTAAAATACCGAGCGCAGGGCTGCGATGTTGTATACAGACCATTGCCTGGGAGCCCCGTGGAGGGGGAGAGAGGGCAGATTGGTGGGGGCAATTCCATTTACCCAAAGTTGCCTGGGAAAATGGAATTGTCAGTCAAAGTACCGCAGCGCTGAATACTGAAAAATGGCCTGGATGGGAAGGGGGTTTAACACCGCGGATGTCAACTGGTTAAGCAGTGTTTAGACTCTGAGGTGTTCCAAATTGCGAACGTGAAGAGCAATTCATTGTGGTGACAAGCAAGAAAACCCGACACTGTGCCCTGAATGGCAATGAGAGATTCCACTAATTACAGCTTCCTGTAATTACACTGATTGGCCCGGGCTACAACGCCTCCTTCCACTTCAATAGTAATCATGAAGGAAAAAATGAGCAGAGTGGCGCAGGAAAAAAGAATGCGTCACTCTTCTAAACCGGGAAAACGGAGCAGATCCCGCTCCTGGATAACAAAGAGGACGCAAGCCACTTATTTAATCTTTTAAAGTGACATTAAACCCTTAGATTTTTTAACATAAAACAATACTGTAATGTGCGCCTTACTGTAATCCATGGTTGTTTCCCTTCTCTTTGCTGCTCTTCCTTTTAAATCCTCATGTCTTCTCATGCTTGGGGAGAACTTCCCTTTGCAGCTGAGTGCCTCTTCCTGTAGTGCTGGCTCAGGTTGTGAACCTACACACAGACACCATGTATCCATTCCAGAGACAAGGCAGTCTGCTGCAAAACAGACGTTCTCCCCCAGCATGAGAAGAGAGACGGATTTAAAAGGAAGAGCAGCAAAGAGAAGGGAAACAACCACGGATTACAGTAAGGCACACATTACAGTATTGGTAGACAGCAGGAGATGCTTGCTCCGGCTCCCTCTACCTGTGAGTGAGAGGGAGAGGAAAGCTGTTAACAGACAGAAATAAAGGAGAGAGGAGCTTTCCCTGCCTATATAGGTCACCACATGGGCAGACAGAGGCATGCGAGCTCTGTGCCAGCTTCCCGGCATAAGACAAGTCCAGACTGGCAGGGATCTGGGAGTCTTATACTGAAAACTGCCACAACCACTTTGGTAATTACGCATGGAACCCGCCCGAGTGGTTGTTTCACTATAAATAGAAACTGGCATTAGTGGTGTAGAAAGACCTGAATCCGCTCCATCTGCTTTATTAATGTGCCGCGCCAGCTTCCTGCACCATTATAAGGGCTTAGATAACTCATCAGCTTTCCCGCCAATGTCATACAAGCCATGCACACCGCTCACCTCCAGGATGACAATATCATAGTCACTAAAGGAGCAGAACTGCGGGAACCACGACGCATCATGGCGTATGACCTCGTTTATGACGTACTCAAAGTCCAGCGTCAGCTGCTCCACACAGAGATGTTGGCCCTACAATAGAATGCGGAGATGAGAAGAGATTGGACGGCAGCATTAGAGGACACAACGGAGAGGAGGAGGAGCGCCGCTCACCTGGAAAGAGGCCCTGTCATTCAGAGGCTTTAGGTGCTGGCCCTTCAGATCGGTGACCAGGAAAGGCAGACCCATCTTGTCATCTTCATATTCTGCCGAGACTCAAAGCATTAAAAATAGTGTTCTAACCCGCTGCAAGTCAGCTTTACAAACACAAATGTAACACATATAAAACTTGTAAACACACCAGGCTCTTAAAACATTCAGGACAATCAAGGAAAGAGAACTCTTTTCCCTTGCTCCTACTGTCCCCCGAGAGCTGCACTGGAATTCATATGTCATAGAACGGAAACTTCTCCTCACCTGAAGATATTTTCTGTGTTAAAGTAAATCTAACCCGATCACTTATCTTATACGAGCTGTAACATGTCATTGTGTCTTCAATACTTCCAAATCTGCCGCTATCATTCAAATAATCCCTGTTCAGGGCACCGCTTGTTATCCGGTGACAACCCCTAGCTGTGCTTCTGCAGTCACCCTCATGGAGACCAAGGGGCCGATTTATAACTCATGGGCCGATTCATCATGCCGGTTCTACTGCCGCTGGATCAGTGATGGCGAACGTTTTTGAGGCCCGATTGCCCAAACTGCAACGCAAATTCAATTGATCTCAAAGTGCGAACACCGAAAAATAATTTTGGTATTGTGTTTTAGTTTGGGCGCTGGGATGTTAAAAACGTTCATAACTGCCTAAAGGCAAAATAGTCAAAACACACTTATTCAAACATGTTATTTTTTAACCACTATTTTTATTTTACTTTATTTTTTTATAATTTATCACTTTATATTTTAATTTTAACATTTTTATTCCCCTTAATTTTTGTTATCATTTTTATCCACCCTGTGTGATAGCATTTGGAGGTGACAGGTTCTCTTTATTAAACCTGTCACCTCCAATACAGGAGTTCTAGCACAGGACTGTGACAGCTGAGATGGGAATGCTGCGAGTGCCGCTCTCCCCGTTTACACGGAGCAAAACGGAGAACGGACATTCTTCACTCTCTGCTCCTCCTAAAATACTTTGCCATGGTCTAGGGTCCCCCAGAAGAGCGAGGGACCCCGAAAATCATGGCGAGAAGGGTGGCAGCCATCGGTGGGTGTGGGGGGCGTGCAGGCTGCATACAAGTGATCTCCGAGAAGAAAATGAGCGGCGGCTTCCCCGCTGTACATTTAGCCCTGCTTGCCTGTAGCAAGGCTAAATGTAGGGGGGAAAACCCTAACTGAGCGAATCTGCACTGGATGGAGCATAGAAAATGACTATGTTCCTCAGCGCCATCTAATGGCGGTAGTGCGGTGTGAACGGCATCCGCCCAGCGTGTAGTTATAAATGAGCCCCTAAGTGTCCATGTGGACACACATTGCACAGTCTGGGGGGCTGGTCCACAGCAATGATGCTGGAGTGAGTGCATACAGACAGGAAATGGCTGATGGGCTGTCAGTGACTGATGTACTCAGACACATCTGAAGACACTTTGGTTTTCGTGTAACTATTCCTTTATATATCTTCCCTCCTCCTCTCTCTATTCCCACAGCCGAGCGCCCTTACCGCTCTCTCGGTCGATCTCCGTCACCTCCCCAAGGACGTATCGCAGTCTTGTGTAGTTGACGTAGCTGGGTTCCTCGCTGCGTTTGGTCGGTCGCGCTGAGTCTTCACCGACAGGCCGGTGCCATATGGGGGAGTCGGGTTCGGCGGGCTGTGAAGGGCTCTGTCGGCTGGGCCCGGCCTTCTCTCCCTTGTCCAGGTGCTCTACGCCTGAAGCCTCCCGAGCCCGCCGGAATATCCCGGCTACAAACTCACGTGCGCGAGTGACGGCGGGAGGAGTTCCAGGAGGAGGAGGGGAACTGGGGTCGGGTGCATTAGGGGACTGGTTGCTGGAAGTAGGGGTGCAAGGGCTGACTGAAGAAGGGGAGGAGTTAGGGGAGGTGTTGTGTCGGCTCTGTTTGCTGTACAGGATACGGTTGGGTTCCTGGTCACCTGTAAAGGCAAAAGAGGAAAAAAAACAAAACACATTCTTCCCATCACGTTTTCAAACAACGAGCAAGTTCCAGTCAGCCTGGTCATATGGAGGAAGAATGTCCCACCTGAATAAGAGTCCTCACCTGCCGGGTGTACACTTATGGCGCAGGCCACCAGGGAATAGCTGGTATTCAGCAACATAACCTGATCTTTCTTCAGCTGGAAGGCCGGCTGGAAGGTGGGGAATGGATAGACCACCTGATACTTTGTATGCAGCATGAAGCTATGCATCAAACAAGGACCTGAGGAGAGAGAAGAACATCAGGGAACCTGCACACAGAAATGTAGCCAAGTACAAACGTACAAATACAGAAAGTTATATTTGCCAACTGGGCCTGTGATCCTTATCCCTGTGCTTCACTACTTATTAAGTCGCTGACCTGAACATGTCTGGAAGTAAACTTCCCCTGAATCTCCAAAATCAATGATTTCTTTACTCCACTGCAGCCAAATAGACAGCCTCTCACATGGCCAGTGGGTGGGTAGGCTTCCTGCAGCCTCTCACATGGCCAGTGGGTGGGTAGGCTTCCTGCAGCCTCTCACATGGCCAGTGGGTGGGCATGCTTCCTGCAGCCTCTCACATGGCCAGTGGGTGGGCATGCTTCCTGCAGCCTCTCACATGGCCAGTGGGTGGGCATGCTTCCTGCAGCCTCTCACATGGCCAGTGGGTGGGCATGCTTCCTGCAGCCATTGTTCTATAACTTCTGACTGATGAGTCCACTGCAGTTTGAATCTGACACTTCTTGAGCGACAGCAATGGGCATATTTAGGAACATCAGTGGGTCTCTGTGCTTCTCTATCCAATACAGGGAGGTCATGGCTGGTGAAAAGCGTCAGTTTTTGCACAGATATATGTGGAATAAATTTGCTTTTCTTTGCAATCGTGTGCCGGTTTTACAGTTTTTTAGATAATTAATCCAGAAAAGGGTTATTCGTGCAACGAATGTGGATTACAAGGATACATGACAGGGGGAGAGTTGTGCGTTTTTAGATCATTGCTGGTGGGAGGGGCCGGCAGGGCGCTGTACATAGCTTCCTAAAAACATCACAGGACCCTTCCTCAGTACTCAACAGCCCTCAGCCCTGATGCAAGCAGTGGGCTGGCTCTTGGGAGGAGTTACGTTCCTGCGCAGACACCGAGAACAAACAGGTAATGAAATATTATTTTAGGGAGATGGAACTACATGAATGCGGGCAATAGGTTTAGAGCTGCAGAAACATGACCATGTGATGTACTGGAAGAAAGGGCGAACCTACCAGATGAAGACTGCCGGCAGTCTACACAGGGTGACGTTGGAGGCGCGGACACAGTGCTGATGTAAATATCTCGGTGATTCTCATCGCTCATCATGTTCATTATCATCCCGTTGCCAGAAGTGCTGAAGAAGGAAATCGATGTTACTACAGACCGGACCGGGCCAGATAAAAGGACTGTCAGGATTCTGGATGGATGAAGGTGGAAAACCTACTTGAAGCCAAACACAATGACCTTGGAGCTGTCACTGGGCCACTCGCACACAGTCAGAAAGAGTTCACTGTAGATTTCCTCATCCTGGAAGAGACGAACCTGCTGTACCTGGTGACAAGGGGAACCAATTTTATTATTTCATTTTACAAGTTGATAAGCGGATTCACTCCCGTCACTAGAAGAACTGGGATTACACAGCCCTTCCTTTCCTTAATGCCAACAGCTAAACAGGGCGGTGGAGGGAGGGAAGGAATAGCTTTCACTTAATCAACCAGAAGAAAGATGGAAAGGAAATATGGAGCCAGGTCAATTCTTGTTTCGGGGTCCTGACAAGAGGCGCTAGACAGGGGTGTCAAACTCAATTTAATCGTGGGCCGCATCAACATTATGGTTGCCCTCAAAGGGCCTGTAAGACTATATAAATGTATCTAAACTTTATCATAATTGCCTCTGCATTCCATTATCACTGGTTTTAGTAATAACTTAATACCTAGATCTGAAAGTAGAAGTCTAGGAAATGGCCTGGAGGGCCGGATTCGGCCTATTTATTGGCCACAAAACATCTTTTTTTGGCAGCCAGAATTTGGCAACTTTTGCAGAGTTGTAACAGAACAAGTCAGATTGTGGCCCCTGTTGGTCTTAATGCGGAATGGCTCTTACCAGACGCAGCTTGCTGTGCCCCTGGAACTGCCACCAGTACAGGTGATAGGAGTAGAAGGAGAAGTCGTCGTCCAGGACATCGCTGGTGTAGGACAACACAAAGCGGCCACACTTGGAGAAGCCCAGGAAGATGTGTCTGCGGGGACAGAAACTGGGGAATTTATCTGGAGCAGTGGTGCATGGCAACCAATCAGCTTCTCTCTACAGTTTGTTCACTTAAGCCTTAAAAATGAGAGAGAAACTGATTGGTTAGAATACGTAGCTGCTCCAGTTTTAATAAATTCCCCTCTGTGTCTTCTGTTAGTTTTGAAGAGAGGTCTTTTTATTGAACCACATAGGATTATATGTAGAGAAGGCCAAAAATAGACACGCAAACACTCAAGTCCAGTTAGGTATTAATTTAAAATAATTGTATCTGTTTACAGCAGGGCTACATTGGGGCATAACGCAGCAACACTTATTCCAATGATGTGTTAGATTTATTAAAGCAAAAATAAAATGATTCAATTTGAAGAAATATATAATAAAAAAATTCTAATTTTTGTACTTGCCATAAAATCCTTTTCTTCAAATCCATTGAGGGACACAGAAAGTCCTTAACCTTTGGGTTATATTACCGCCCGCAGGAGTGCTGGACACTGAAAACTCTAGGCCAGCCCAGTACACCCTTCCTACTATCATTGTGCCTCGGTTTTGCAGAAAAAAAAAAAACACCTAAGGGCAGGTCCTGTGTCCCTCAAAGGACTCCAAGAAAACAATATTACTGCAAGTACAACAACTCCTTTTTTCTTTCTCGTCCATTGAGGGGCGCTGGAAAGCTTCAACTTTCGGGATGTCCAAAAGCATTCAAAATGTGGATACAGAAAACAAAACGCTAACAGGCCTAAGAAAGCAACAGAACTGAGAACTGTCTGCAGCTCAAAGAGCTTCCTGAAGGACCAACTGGGCATTAGATGAGGCCAAAGTGTCCACATGGTAGAACGTGTGAAAAGACGACCAGGTGGTTGCCTTGCAAACCCGGGAAAAGTCCAAGAAGCACGGATTTAGTAGGGTGCGTCTTGACAGGACGGGGTGAACCTGCTCCTAGAGATCCAAAGATTATCTGACGGTCTGTCTGAGCCACCTGGAGATGATGGAACCAGAAACTGGGCGCCCTGCCAGGGACCACCCGGGATAACAAAGAAGGAATTGGTATTTCTGAGAGAAGCAGTGGCTGAGAAATCCGCACATCCCCATCCCCTCCCAGAAAATGAAGGGACATTTCTGTTTGATGAACTGAAACTGGGCAGAGGGACGGGAGAACAATGTCCTGCTTGAGGTGAAAGGCAGAAACTACTTTGGACAAAAAGGAAGTCCTGAACCTCAATACCACCTTGCCCCAACGCAGGACCAAAGAGTTCAGACACTTGCCAGGTAGGAGGTTATGGTTACAAGGGACACCACCTTGTGGGTGAGAGAGGAATATCTCTGACTGCTTCAAACGATGGTTTCTGAGGCACAGGGAGAACCAGATATATATCCCAAGGAGTCATTGGGGATTCGGGAGCTACATGGGAAACCTGTACAAAGTCAAAGAGTGAGAAGCCAACAGTCTCTGAAATATAATTAAAGAGCAGAAGCCAGACCCTTGATAGTGCCGAGTGTAAAATGCCGGTCCAAACCCAGCTGCATGAAGCAGTGTTCATCTCATGCAGAAGCTCCTGGGGTGGAAGCCCCAAGACTCACACCAAGTACGCCTTTCACATCTGATGATAGACCTTGGGGAAAGCAGACCTTCTAGCTTCAATCATAGGAATCAAGGACTCAGAGATGCCCCCGTCACTTAGAATCTGGGCTTCTTCAACAGCCATGTCATTAAGGCAAGATGGCAAATCAGCCATTGGGAAGATCCTGCCAATCTGGCAGTGCCAATGGGCCACCAGAGCTTCCACCAGGGGATTCCCGTTCCAGGATCCACCAGATCAGATGATGATTCTGTAGAGAATGAGTCTGCTCCAAGGGCCTCCTGCCCTGAAGACTCCAGCGCCCCGCTTCTGATGCCCTCCCCTTGCGGGTGTGGGAGCCGCAAGGGTCTAAGTCCGGCTTCTCCACCATCCTGGAATCGTCCATGTAGCGTGACCGAGCATGTGCCTGCACCTGGCCTTATGCCGGGGACAAAGATGGCGGTCCGACCGGAAGCTGTCCAGGGGAATGGCGGCCCCCACGAGGTCCGACTGACCGCTGCCCTGGTGTCTGATGCACGCCAGAAAGGTAAGCAATTCCCCCCGAAGACCTCAGCAGGATGGAGGAAGGTCGCAGTACTAGGGAGGACTCCACTGAGTCTTTTACACCAGAAGGATGGTTGCCTTTCAATCCACGCAGGAAACCTCAGGCATACAAAAATAAGATCCTATAGACCAGGGGTAGCCAAACTCCGGCCCTCCAGCTGCGGTGAAACTACAAATCCCAGGATGCATCTCTCTCTGGGAGTCCTACCTATGGCTGTGAGATCTTGCAATGCCTCATGGGATTTGTAGTTCCACCACAGCTGGGGGGCCGGAGTTTGGCTACCCCTGCTATAGACAGATGGCGCTGTCTTGGAATGCCCTTTCATGAGCACCTCAGGTCCACTGTCCCTAGCATGCGGTACTCACGAACCAGGGAGGCCCCTGCTCACTAGCACAAAGGCCTGGCTTAAAACAACAAATATTACCATGTCCTGTTTAGCTGGAGGAAACACAAAAAAACTGAGGGATGCAAGGCATGTGATCCTTTTTTTTTTAATTAGGTGTGGGTGATGCGTTTCCTGTTCCGGTGGGAGGAGCCCATCTCTCTGATGCTGTCCTGGAAGGTGACTAGAGAAAAACCTTTCCAGTTTGATGATGAACTTAGAGGCCCCCAATCGTTGTCCCCAACCTCCTACACAGGTCCAAGAACATGTGTGGGTGCAGAGACCACGTTCCCAGGTCTAGGTGCTGCTGGCTGAGACATCCGCCGGGCACATTTCCACACGTGGAGCGTTCATGGCTGACAAGAATGGAATGCGACGTTCTGCCCAGGCAGGATCCGCTCTACATCTTTAGCCTCAGCAAGATGCTCGGTTCCTCCCTGATGGTGCCACTGCTGTGACTGAATCCGTGAGATGAAACTCCTTCAAAGACCAAGACTCCTGTACTGATAGGTGCCGAGAAACCTTCCCCAGCCTGCAAAAGATGGGAGACAGGACGTCCCCGACGCCAGATCTGACCTTTCCCACAATGACAGAATGTTGAAGATGTCTGGGATGAAGATGGGTGAAAGGAAGTGCCTGGAAGGAGGTCACCATCAGCTCCAAGACACTCCTACAAGCAGATAGACAGCTTCCGCATTAAAGAGCTCAAACCTCAGACATGAGAACCCAAACTCCGGTCCATGAGATGTCCATGACCAGTCCCAGATAGGGATGAGCTGGATCCAGCCACAATATCTGGAGGTTCAGGATCCATCTGACCTCCAACATCCGCACAGCTGGAGATGCATGGTCTGAAAGAGCCCTTCACCAAGTGTTCCCTCAACAGAAAGAAGGTCGTCCAAGTATCCCACAAGAATGTAACAGGGCCACCACTGGAGCCGGAACACCCAACGTGGTAATGAAGACCCATGCCCCCCCCCCATTAGCAGTTTGACAGCAGAAGGAGCCTAAGGCTCCTCAGTACCCTCCCCCAGGACCTGGAAGTTTTTCCACAGTCTAAAGACTAAGCAGGGGGTGTGTTGGACCTCTGCAGAGAGACCTCTGCTTCCACACAGGGAGCACGCTGGCAGGGGCAGGCTTTCCTCCTCAGGCTGTGGCTGCTTTCCAATACTTGGCTTGCCTTGTGCTCCCACCTGAAGAGGAATCAGATCAATAATCATCCAATGACATCACATGGTATGAAGAGGAAGAAGCCGCCATCATTACCCTTTCTGCAGGAACTCCTCGTCCACAATATTGCGCAGAGATACGCAGAGACGCGGGGGGAGCTTCCGGAACAGACGAGGAGACAGCTGACCCGTGATCTGAAATACAAGGAGAGAGCTTTCTGTACGCACACAGGACATGTGACCCATCACCTGATTATATCATACCAGGAGGCCAGGAACTCACAGCATTCCCCCTGAAATAATGATAGTTTCCCCGCCGGTGCCTTCGCTTCCGGCAACCAATCCCGCCCTCCTTTCCTGTGACGTCATGGCCCGAAGCTCCCCGCGCGCCCCGATTGGCGGGAGGAGAACTTGAAGTTCCCGCGGCGTGATTGACGGCTCACCTTGTCCTGCAGGAGATCTTGACCAATCACCGCGCCGGGGAGGGACTAGTATCTATGGAAACGCCGCAGACGCAGAGATGGCGGGTTGCTGCAGTGTAAGTGGCTTCTCATGGTGTCCTCTGATCGCCACTATATAGAGAAGACGTGTAATGAGAGACACGAGGGAGCCATAGTATCAAATCGGCTTCTCTCTTTGGTTTACCCAGGTAAGCTCTGAAAATGAAAGCTAGAAGCTGATTGGTTGCTATGAGCAACTGCTCCAGTTTTGATAAATGTGTCACCATGACAGCCAGCAATGTCAACACATCAATGTAAAGGAATTTGCTGTCTCCTTCCCTATATGCTGATCCCCTCGTTGTTATGCTGATCCTCTGGCTTGTATAATTTCCAGGTTGCTGACCTCTAGCTGTGACTGATGGACTGCTGCAGAGAGGTCTCTGTTGCTGAATCCCTCCCACTGTGAGCTGCAGTGTCTGGGAGGGGGAGCGTGTGAGATACAATGAAGGACGATGTAGCTTGGCCTGGCCTCATTCAGAGAGGTGGTGATGAGCTGCGTTGTGTTAGACTATGAATGGCACCGTAATGCACATAGAGCAGATGAGTTGTGGCAAAGCATGCTACCACTCATGTCACAATGCACAAGTGGTTCAGGGCCCCTAAAAGGTTACATAACACCTGCATTACAATCTGATTGCCAGCATCTGTCTACATATTCCAGGGGATGGGAACAAGCAGAATTCATCAAGTGACCTGCCGATCAGCTCCTGTGGGATGTTCCCGGTCTGCAGTGGTCAGGACCAACCAAAAGTGGTCCAAGGAGGGAAAACTGATGACAGGGTCATGGATGGCCAATGCTCATTGATGCATGTGGGGAGGGAAGGCCGGCCCATGTAGTCCGATCCAATAGAAGATATAATGGAGCTCATATTGCTGAGAAGGTGAATTCTGGTTCTGATAGGACGGTGTCTGAACACTCAGCGCATCGCAGGTTGTTGTGTATGGGGCTGTGTAGCTGCAGACCAGTCAGGGTGCTCATGTTGACCCGTGTCCACCACCAAAACCGCCTACACTGGGCACAGGAGCATCAGAACTGGACCAATGGAAGAAGGTGGCCTGGTGTGATGAATCATCATGAGGATGGTTGGGTGCTTGTGTGCCACTTACCTGGGTAGAAATGGCACCAGGATGCACTATGGGAAGAAGACAAGCCGGCAGAGGCAGTGTGATGCTTTGGGCAATGTTCTGCTGGGACACCTCGGGTCCTGCCATTCATGAGGATGTTACTGTGACACGGACCACCGACCTAAACATTGCTGACCAAGTACCCCCCTTCATGGACACGGTATTCCCTGATGGCAGTGGCCTCTTTCAGCAGGATAATGCGCCCTGCCGCACTGCAAACATAGTTGAAGAATTGTCTGGGGAACACAACGAGTCCGAGGTGATGACTTGGTCTCCAAATTCTCCAGATCTCAGTCCAATGGATCATCTGTGGGATGTGCTGGAGAAACAAGTCCAATCCATGGAGGCCGATCACCTCACAACTTACATGATGATCGCTACTGACGGCTTGGTGCCAGATACCACAGCACACCTTCACAGGTCTAGTGGAGTCCATGTCTCAATGGGTCAGGGAAAGGGGGACCTACCTAACATTAGGTGGGCGGTCAGAATGTCATGGCTGATCAGTGTATAAGGCTGTCCCTGAGGACCTTCTGATGAAAATGATAGTTACCTGACTGTTTCTGGCCCCAGTGCACCCGTGTCACCAACCCAGACCCACAATGCAGATCAGGAAAGTCAGAATAAAATGTTATCTCCTGATGAGGGCTCTTATTTCAGGGTCCATGAAGCAAGAGGATTAACATGAGAGCCAGGCGACCAGAATTCTCTGGCAGATTCCTTGTTAGTCACATGACCGCTTTCCTTAGTTGTTAGTGATGCGGTGACTCCTTTATCCCTTTGAACAGTGTTTCTCAATCTAGGGTACACCTACCCCCCGGGGTACTTGGAAATGTTTTTGTAATATGGAAAAGGGCTGCGCCAGGGAGTCAGTTGTGTACGGAATTCATCTTGTGGCTGCCGGCACCCCAATCTGTCCCTGATGGGGTGATATGCTCTCTGTGGGGGGAATCCAGCCCCTCCCCTGTCACGGCAGAGAGCTGTGACAGGATCGAGAGGTGAGTATGTGTTGGCCGGTATGTGTTCGCTCACCTCCCGATCTACTGAGCCGACCTGTGACAGTCTAGGTCGGCTAGAACTCTCCTTAAAGAAGAACCAAAGCCAACGTTTCTTTCTTTCTTTAGTCCTGTATCTCATTGTGGAGATTTCCCTTTACTTCCTGCCCTATAGTCACAACAGGAAGTAAGGAAATCCCTTCAAAGCGCAGGAAATCCCTGATGGTCAGCAGGGTCACCAGAACTAGTGTCCCCTTTGGAAGATTTCCCGCCTATTCTTGTTCTGATGACAACCCAAAATGTGGGATTTCAGTGATAACAATCACCAGGACAAATACTGGGGGTGCATCTCCCTAACGGGGACACAGGCAGCAATCCCTCTCCACTCCATCCAAAACAACAAAAAATTGGGCGCATTTGCACTTTAAAAACGAATTTAGTGCAAAGAGGAAGTGGTGTGGGGCAGACTGACTGTCGAGTCCTGAGCCACACCAGAATGGGCCCAACTTTAGGGTGGCACTGGCTGACAGCCCCCTCCCCCCTTATTTGTCCTGGGGACCATTGTCACCAGCACAGGAATAGATAGAAAATCTTCCAATGGGGACACTAGTTCTGGTGACCTTGCAGACCACCAAGGAGTTCCCTCTCTTTGGAGGCATCTCCAATCACTTCCTGTTGTGGCTATTGGACAGGAAGTCAAGGGAAATTTCCCCTTATAGGACACAGAGGGTGAAAAAAAAACAACTGACGGGGTTATAACCCTTCCTTAAAAAAAAAAAAGGTTTTGATTTCAGTTGTACTTGAAGGGATCTCCATCAGATGAGAGCAGCCCCACTCTGCAGGGTTGATCCCTTTCACTACACTTTCCATGGAGTTCCCTCTGCTGCAGCCCTCCCTGAGCTACCAGCCTACACCCTTGTGCCATCTTCATCCTCCATGGTCCACATACCCATAATGGAGCCCTTTAACCCACAGTGGCCCCAAGACCCCAAATCTAGAGGATCCAGTGTCAAAGGCCGTGCCCCAAAGATAATCCTGGACATCACTGCAATAAATGAAAGTTTAAATCCGATTGGTCACTACAAACGCCACGACTGTTCTTTCTCCAGATAAGCCCCTCCCCTCAAAAGCAAAATGGCTGTAATGAAAACCTCAAAAACCCAGCGTTGTCTATGGATATCCTTTATTGAAAGTGTCAGTCCTCTATATAGTGACACAATAACTTCGACAAGTATTACAGAGTGCATAGTGTTTATAAACGGTGTACAAGGCCCGTCCGTCTAGGGCAGCCATTTTGTACGGCAAAGCAAAAATCTCATTGAAGAACCTTTTCTGTAGGTTGGAAGGGAAGTGACGGCACAGAGCGGAGACATGCCTCCACTTACAGCAATGGCAGCAGCTCCCCAGTATTGGAGAGGCCCTGGAATTACTAGTTAGGCCTCCTCCGTCTGACAAAATGGCCGCCTTGAAGGGAGCTGTGCACTTCGTGCTGAATAATAATGCCAAATGTTCAGTCTCATTATATACACATTTTCCTTTACACGCTGTGCTCGCCGTACATGCGTGACTATTATCTACATGCATGTACAACACCGCTCAGCTGAGGTAGGACAGACATGCGGCACCCCATACACACACACACTGTCGTCATGGTAACCACACTGGCCTACTGGCTGTCTGTTTACATGACTGACACACAAACATGCTACATCCATCAGCTGCGCCCATGACACAATCATATCTGTCACAGCATAGCGACAAGGCTGAATTTTCTCTATGTAACCGTAATTGTGGCGTCCATATTGTTTAGTATGGAAAAACATTTTTTAAGTCCCAGCCAAAACATTTTTATAGTGGAACTGAATTAGGGAGAAAAAGTAGTAGGAGGTACAGGGATGGGGAACCTCGGCCTTCCAGCTGTTGTACTACTAGTCCCATGAGGCATTGCATGACTCTAAGGTAGAGGTGGGCTGACTCTGGCCCTTCATTTGTGGTAAAACTACAAATCCCATGACGCATCTGTCTCTGGGAGTCGTGCCTGTGGCTGTCAGACTCTTGCAATCCATTATGGGATCTGTAGTACCACAACAGCTTGAGGACCAGAGTTTCCCCTCCCCAGAGGCATGTTCAGTTCCTTAGCCAAGCGCTGAATAGCTGTTCTGCAGCAGCTTCACTGAAAGCTTCGGCTGCGCAGCGCTAAGCAAAATGGCGGAGGATAATATTTTTGACAAATAAATACTTTTCCAACAAATATTTGGTGTGCTCGTCCACCAAAACATTAAATTGTAGGTTCCCACACTGAACTGATTTCCTCCATCGGGGTTCAGGCACCTTTCTCCGGTGCTGCCAGGTGTGCCCACAGTTAAAATGGCCGCTGGTGCTCTGTACCCTCCATCTCCATCACGCCCAGTATCCACATTCACTTCTGCTGCGAGTTCTGTCAGGAGCACTGACTTGCAGCACAGCGTTCAGTGGCGGTTTGCTAACTCAGCACTCGCAGCGGCTGAGTAAGAGAACACGCCTCTGTTTGAAGGCATGACCCCTAGAGGCAGAGGCATGATGGGACTTATAGATTTAGCACAGCTGGAGTGCCCCTGGACTAGGTGGATGATTTATAAAACTTACGCTTAGTTATACGCTAGGTGAATGCCATTTGCATGCCGTTCCCGCCACTAGGTGGGGCCAAAGAGCATAGGACATTTCTGTGCTCCTCAGCTCCATCTAGTGGCAGGCATGGCGTACAAAAGGCATTCGCCCAGCATATTGCTGAGTGAAAGTTTTATAAATCAACCCTTGTGTATGTTTCTTCTGCCGAAAATTACTTTCTCTTTTGTTCTATTTCTCTTTTTTCATGCATAGAGTGCAATGCACACTTTAGGGCAGGGGAAGGCAAACGCCAGCCTTCCAAGCTGTGGTGCAACTACAAATCCCGTGAGGCATTGCAAGACTCTGACAGCCACAGACATGACTCCCAGAGACAGAAGCATGATGGTATTTGTAGTTTTAGCACAGCTGGAGGGCTGGCGTTTTCCTACTCCTGCTTTATATCTCCATAGGAACTGTTCAGCCTTCGTGACAGATATCCAGTAAAGCATTGCAGATGCCGGGGGAACAAACCATGTTAGTGCATCACACAATGGCGGAGCACAAAGACAAACGTGGACATGTACGCAGACACAAGACTGACTATGAACATGAAATGAAAGCCGTTTTTTGTTTAATTAGTGATTGACGACATTATAATTTATGTTAAAATCTAAAACGATAATGAGAATGAAGAGACAATAGGAGGACGTGTACACATGTATGTAGTGTTAGGAGACGGGTTCAGCAAGCTATAGCATACGGTATCAGTAATATATCACTACACGCACACGCTCATACTCACTGCTGGCCTTCGTGCTAGTGCATTAGTAAATAGAGGGGCAGAATTGGGGAGTGCATGATGGGAGTGATTGTCATGACAGGTAGAATAGAATGTTACCCACACCTAAGGCCTGACAATTCCAGGGTGCCAGGTCGCCACTGTGCCAAGTCATGTGGTCCCTTTGTCTGCCACATTATGATTTCCTAACTCTGTCTGTGAATTAGGGTTCGGGTAAAGTGGGCCTCTGCATGAAAACATTCCCGACATGGTACAGGAACGGCATACTTCGGGAAACGCTTTGTCCCGGCCAGGCTACTGCTGGGAAGTGTCCCGGCCAGGCTACTGTTTGGAAGTGTCCAGCCAGGGGTGTTTTGGTTTGCCTGTACAAGCTCAGCGAATGAAAACACTGTGACATGGCTGACCTACTGACAATGTTTCACGTCTCATCAGTGTAACTTTCATAGATACAATACAATGAGTGAGTGTTGTCACAGAGTGTTTTCATCCTAGGACAGGAAGTGTGTTATTGGCAGGATCACCAGGTGAAAATAAAAGGTAAAGAAGCCTGAAAAAAGAAACCGAATGCAGCCACCACATCAAAGTACCTTTTTTTTTATGGTGCCTGCATTGCTATTGGGAAGCAAGCACTGGCTGCACGAGGAGGACATTTGAAAGCACATCTGAACCTAACATTTTTGTTGGGATGTAGATGCACAATGCCGCCGGTGCTCGCTGCCTAATAGCAATGCAAGAACCACAAATGTTGTACCATAAACCCGGCACATAGGGACAACATGACAAGTATTGTAGAGACCTGGCACCTGGACTTGTCAAGCCTTGTCCATGGCCACCAATCAGGTTAGTTTTTAAAGGAATGCCACCTGTGGAATCTGATTGGTTGGGTTTTTTTTTTACATTCCTCCATTTCTGCTGAATGCCCTTCTTAGTGTTCAAGTCAGCCTCAGAGAGAAGGGAGTTGCACAGAAGCCACATAAGTGCATCAACGCTGGGGTGGGCTCCCTATTAAAGGGGTTTCCAGTTTTCATCCAGAAAGTGGGGGGTACCCCAACATCAATATCACGCTCAGATCTGTAATGATCAGCTGTGTTTTTTTTGTGCCAACGCAATTTGGAATCTAGGCGCTGCTCAACCGTTTGGTTGCAATGCAGCTCTACCCCCAAATGGTCTAATGAGCTCAAAACTCTGAAGCTTAAAGTGTATGTCCGGGCAAACCCAAAATCCTATTCCTTACATCTGAATGCATGTACATTTCCCCATGCTCAATCCCATTAAAAAAGCAGCACATACAACAACAACAAAAAAGATAGTTTTGCCAGAAATCCAGCGTGCTCCTGACATCCGGTTTGGATTGACAACACTGCCTCTGCTGTACAGAAATCTCAACCAGAGTGGTCAGCCCTGCCTGCTACAGAACTCCACCTATCCCCACCCCCTTCCGTCCCACTCCTCATCTATACACCAATTTCTATTCCAGCAATACAATGCTGCTGCCGAGACTCCCAACAGTCTTCTCACACAATGTGTGTAGAGGAAAGGGCTCTTGGGAGATGTGGTTCCGGGAGCATATATTCATTAATAGGAGCTAAGTTTCTAGCAGCAGCCCCTGCAATAATATTACAAGCCTGGTGATGTCGTCACACAGAGTAACAAAGCTGCTCACTACAGGAACAATGCTCTAGAGGGGAATAAAGACGTGCTCCTTACATCCTGTTTGGACTGACAACTCCTTGCCTCTACTGTACGGTGTAGGGGAAAGGGCTCTTGGAGATGTGGTTCTGGGAGCATGCCTTCACCAATGGGAGCTGAGCTTCTAGCAGCAGCCCCTGCAATAATATAACAAGCCTGGTGATGATGTCACACAGAGTAACAAAGCTGCTCACTACAGGAACAATGCTCTAGAGGGGAATAAAGACGTGCTCCTTACATCCTGTTTGGACTGACAACTCCTTGCCTCTACTGTACGGTGTAGGGGAAAGGGCTCTTGGAGATGTGGTTCTGGGAGCATGCCTTCATCAATAGGAGCTGAGCTTCTAGCAGCTGGGCCTACAAGATTACAAGCCTGGTGATGATGTCAAATGGAGTCCAGGAACAAGGCTAAAGACGTTTGGGGCGGGGGGTAATGTGGGTGATGCCTGGACATACACTTTAATCTGTGACCATCCTGTGTGGCTTTGGAGCGTAAATTTAAGATTTCCAACTTTCTTGATGAAAGCCGACAACCTCTTTTACAGGGAATTAAACATTTCTGCCTGTGAAGGAGCCTGCGGACAGCCAGGGCCCATGCAGGGTGTTACACATGTAAGGGAGGGGATAAGGCACTGGGCCCCGTCTCTATAGGAGAAGGGCATGTAAACAATGGATCCAGCATCTGGAATGACCTTCATCTGCTCATCTTCTGAAGCTGCAAAGAAAAAGAAATAGAAATTAAAATCCTCCCCTTGTGATTGTAACTGCATAACCTTCTAACCGCACAGACCAGATTCTCCACCCTACAGTGAAATCAGACAGTACGATGCAAAAGCCTGTGCGCCCCTGGCCCAGACTAATAAACTCGGACTAAATGGGGGTCATTTCTATTTGCCTGTACACTTAAGGCAACGGATTTAAAGGGGAACTCCATTTTCTTTTTAGATTCAGTGCGCTGCAATGCAGATCTGTTGCTTTAGTGCAGCAGTAGGCAACCCTGGCATGCTTGCTATGATGAAACTACAAGTTCCATCATGCCTCTAGAAGTCGTGGCTGTCAGAGACTAGCAATGCCTCATGGGACTTCTAGGTCCACCACTGAAGTGCCGAGGTTGCCTGCCCCCCTGCTTTAGTGCATTTATTCTGAATGGCACCACAGGTAAACACAGCTGGTAAATTGTGCATTGCAGTAACGTACACATTACTGCGATTCAAAGGGGTGAAGCCGGACCTAACCACATTCCGTGATTGGAGGGGAGTTCAGCCAGCGGGATGTGCTGATCTCCCCTACGATCCAGCCACAGAGGTCCACAGTGCCAGCCCAGGCCCGCACTGAGGACACAAGAGCCCAGGATAGCCAGTGGAGGGAGGGGGGCGCACACTTCCAACACCACTCTATAGCCCCCCCGAGGCTATAATTTGCCAAACTTTCCCACGGGCAAGCAAGGATGTTTATAAAACGCCCACCCGCCCTTATGCAGCAGCCCTCCGGCCGTTTATTTGCAATTGACCGGACGGCAAATGGTTAAAGCCCATTCATTATGAACACACCTCGTTCCCTACAAGATTCCTCTTGAACAACGCCTCCTTGGCTCCGTCCTAGAAAGAAAAAGAAATAGATCATGACGGGCCAGCAGTCCCACAGCACTCCGGCACAGCTGCTCTTCTCAGTGATGGGATGAAGAGTACATATCATGCAGAATTGGAAAACAAATGCCTGCTATTATGTATATATGGGTGACAATCGGCCTTGGGCAAGACAGCAGCTGCAGAACGTCCACTGCTTAAAGCTGCGTCATAAGCAATCGTTTAAAGCAGGGGTGTCAAACTCAATTTAATCGTGGGCCGCATCAACATTACGGTTGCCCTCAAAGGGCCTGTAAGACTATATAAATGTGACTAATCTTTATCATAATTGCCTCTGCATTCGATTATCACTGGTTTTAGTAATAACTTAATACCTAGATCTTAAAAGTCGAAGTCTAGGAAATGGCCTGGAGGGCCGGATTCGGCCCCTGGGCCTCGAGTTTGACACGTGTGCTTTAAAGAGTAAGGTTGTTTGATTCCAGGTAACTGCAGTTTCAGACAAAGTGCACTTGTTCTTTATGCCCCCATCCCCTGACCTTAACCAGCTCCACCCTCCCTCTCCACAGGCGTATACTTACCGAGATCTAGTGCCCATGGCCTCCCGTGTTTGTTTCCATCCCTTGCTAAAGTTCTCTGTCTGCCTCTAAACAGTAGAGCCCCATAGAAGTTTATGGGGCTCGTTTCTGGGCCAGGAGATGGATGCATATGAGCCCCTATATATGTTTTCCAGGCTAGTCTCCCCTTTACTCCTGGCCAAGAGACAGAGGTAGATGAGCCACATAGAAGTCTAGGAGACCAGTAATGCCAGATCTCCGTAAGTACGCCCCTGTGGTGGGATCTATTAGGTTAATGTACGGGTCAAAAGAATAAGTGCCCTTTGTCTAAAAGTGATGAAACCATAAGGAGCTGCCAAATGAGAAGAGCAGTAGGTCCCCATTGAAGTCTATAGGGCTCGTTTCTGGGCCAGGAGATGGATGGAGATAAGCCCCCTTATATGTTTTCCAGGCTAGTCTCCCCTTTACTCCTGGCCAAGAGACAGAGGTAGATGAGCCCCATAGAAGTCTAGGAGACCCGGAGCACCAGATCTGAACCCACGAGAAGCTGCTAAATGAGATGAAAATGTCGAGGGGAAGGGGAGGGGCTTTTAACTGTTTTGCTAATTGTGTTTCCTGTAGAAGGTGGAACCAATCATCTCTCAGGTTGCTGTCCTGGAAGATGATTGGGGAAATCTAGATAATATCTAGGTCTGCATTGCGCTGAGATCGAGCTAGAAAAAAAAAAGGGGGTTAGTCCCCCTCCCAAACTCCAGATCAATGATACACTGCACTCAGTCATCACTTGTAGTCCTATTCCATTCTCTCACCCGGTTTCCTTCCTGACCAAGACGCCGAGCAGAGTCAGAGTAAAACTGCAGGTACCGTTCCAACTGACGAATGTATTCTGAAAAATAGAAGAAGAGGAGAGTTCAAGTGTAGATCCAGGCAAAATAAAAAACAAAATAGCATATATAATACTTCTCTGAGATACTGTACATGCTCATTCCCCATAGTTGTCTCTCAATAAATGCCGCAGGTATACAAACTATTTGTTGATCTGCCAGAAATCCAGTAAGCTTCTAATTTCCTTTAGTGAGTTGACAACGCTGCCTCTGCTGCGCGGAAACCCCATCCCACGCAGCGTTGCCAACCCTACCTTTCCTTCTGGACTACAGAACACTTCTCCCACTCCTAATCATAATATAAAAGGGGTGACATTCTCAAGTCCACCAGGGAAAACTCGCTGACAATTTACGCAGTGCTGACAATTTACGTAGTGCTTTATATACTGCACAGTCACATCGGTCCCTGCCCTCAAGGAGCTTACAATCTAAGGTCCCTATCGCACACATATGCATACAGGGCCAATATACACAGGAGCCAAATAACCTTCCAGCATGTCTTTGGAGTGTGGGAGGAAACCGGAGTACCCGGAGGAAACCCACGCAAGCACAGGGAGAACATGTAAACTCCATGCAGATAGTGTCCTGACCAGGATACATACCAGGGACCCCAGTGCTAAAAGGCAGAAGTGCTAAGCACTAAACCACTGTGCTGCCCCATTCACATAGTGTACAGCCATGTGCACCTATGGCCACTAGGTGGAGCTGAGGAGTATAAGAAATTAAAGAGAGGCTGAGCTGCATAGAGCTCCATCTGTCACCAATGCTTCCATCGCCAAATTCCTTCTGGAAATGCTAGTGGCTTGGCTGTCATTCTGATCCAATGGCTTTAATACTCTGAGCCACTAACTTGGAGCATGTGTGCACTAAGCAAATGTCTGAAGGAAGTCAAAACTCCCGATCCTCCTCAGCTAAGCTAAGAATATGGACCCTCACCAGCTTGAAGTGCAGGTCCTCCCTTGCGCAGCTGCTGTATTTGCTGCTGACCCCTCTGACTGACATCATTTAAGAGAGCCACCAGGTCTTCTGGGGGATTCCGATGCTGCTGCCTGTAGCCTTGAATCTGAAAGAAGTAGAAGAGTTATAAAGTACTGACTACTGACGGGCCTAGGATGGCAGCCAGTCACCCTCCGGGCACCTGCATGGGCGGGGAGATAATAAATAGGAAAGCTGCTGTTTGTGACAATGGAGAGTGCTAAGAGTGCTGCGCCCAGAGCTGCTTCCCCAGGGAAAGAGTGATCAGCGCCATTTTTTTTTAAACCTGTCTAATTGAAATGGAACCTGGCCTTGCACTGAAAAACTTGTGTGCAAGAAGAGTTCTTATTGAAGAGGAGAGATACTATGGTTATTCTTCAATAAAGGCTTTTCACCCTTCTCTTTAGAATGTACGGTAAGCAGCTCATGTGTGAAAGTTACGTCATCCCAACCAATCAAGAAGGCCAAAGACCCCAAAGTCGGAAGAAGCCAGGAAGATGATGTCAGTGCCGATAAAGGTGCTCGCAGACATCGCAGTGTTGGAGGACAAGTGACTATGTAAGGGTTCAATTCTACTTATTTAATTAATGTTCAGCCCAACAGCGGATCACACACCCCATAGATGTCAGATTTGTTATTAAATGCATCAGGTGACCATCAGCTAATGTGTCCGGGCACTGGTGCGGTCACATAGGGGAACGTAGGGAGTCCTCAGCCCTGTTTAAACTCCGAATGGAGTGACTTGGACTTTACACAGGGTTTCCTTTCCTCTAGTGTGGCTGAAGAACATTTAGAAGGAAGAACACAACGTCACATTTACCTTCTTCTCCAGTTTCTCTTTCTCATAAGCCAACACGCTCAAGCTGTGCAGAGTTGGAGCACTGAAACGGAACCAAAAACATATTTTACATGTGTATCCAATCCCAAAAAACAAATACGTAACACATTGCTGCTCATCAGTCCTTAATGTGGTGGCTGCATTCATTTTCCCTGGTCAGGCTTTCTTTTTCTATAGTCTCCTGCCAGTAACACACTTCCTGTCCTAAGGTTGACATGCTTACACAGTATACTGTATCCATGGAGGAGCTGCGTTGTCACTCTAAGACAGGAAGAGTGTTAGCACTACAGAGGTAACCTGGGCAGAGTACTGTGCGACGGACCTAGGGGGTCTGTTTTGCTGTATTAAGCCCTTCCATGTGCACCTTGCTGTAAAGCTGGTAACGAATTGATGAGTGCGTTTGTCATTTGTTTTGCTTGACTGATTTGGGGCAGTGACGCGGGGGGGGGGGGTCTCAGCTGCCGTTGTGATGTGCGGGGTCCCTTGTGTGTCCCTGTGCCTTTAAGGGGGGTTGGGCTTCCTCCTGACAAACCTGCACCCAAATTTTATCTTTTGCCCCCATGTGCTCCAAGATGGAGACTCTCATAGTTTAGAGTTAGGACCGCACTATATGGAGGTGCCTTGTGCGGCTTTCACATTTTCTGCAGAAGACGTGTATCTAAACCTTTGCTTTTAACCTTAGCAGTTAGAGAGGTTTTTTTGCATGCTGGCTGGTGAGTGTGCCTGGAAACTATTGCTGTTGGACCTAGGGGGTCCGTAACATACTGTAGCACAGGTACAGTCGCCAGAAACTTACAAATTTACTGCATTTATGGCAGAAACAACAATTTTTTGCACTTCTGAAGTTTATATAACAAAAAGCCTCTGGGAGTCATGCCTATTGCTGTGAGAGTCTTGCAATGCCTCATGGGACTTGTAGTTCCACAACAGCGTCAAGGTTGCCCACCACTGGTAATGCCAGGTGGCCAGTTCAGATGCAATAGTGGCTGCAATGAATTTCTCTAGGATGTAATCTTGAGATCTTACTTGGGTAGGGAACCACTGCCTCCAGACTTATTTGGTGCTGGCTGTTTGGGTTTTGGAACAGTCACCTGAAAAAGAAAGCAGCAATTTAGAAATAGGACAAAATAAGCCGACTCTACTACAGGAGCACTGCGGGACCAAAATTAAATATGGCAACTAAAGCTTTGTTAATGGCTTATTTTCATTGTGTTATTTTGGACTGGAGTTCTGCTATTACAATTTATCACTTCAAACGAGTGTCTTTCTAAAAGTCCAGATCCACCTTTTACATTTTTTTTTTTTTAAGTGAGGCTCGGCAGGTATAAAAGTAACTTTTAATCCATAGCAGTTGCCCGCAGGACTACTTCTTCACTGCATGAGGCTACCAGCCTTTCAGGTTGCATGACATCCAGCATTATTCAACCCCCTTCCCAAGAGCCCAGGCCATCATGGCCCCGCCCCCTAGGTTTCATCAATACTCCGGCCAGGGCTCGCAGAACCTCTGGGCAGCACTAAGCTCACACATCAACGAGCAGCACTGTCCAGAAGAATGTGTCACCTCCATAGCTGGGAGGAAAAGGGAAATGACCTGCGGTGCTAGTAGACCAGCTAGAAGATTGCAGTCACATTTGGGTGTATAATAGGATTCGTTTTTTTTCCCCAAAGGTGTGGGGGGGCTTTACGAAGGGAGGGAACGTGGGGAAAAAAAAAGTTGGGCTTTAAATCTGGTCAAAGGCGTATTTCAGAGTGTATTTTTTGGACAGAGTGGGTAAGGCCCGGTTCACACCTGGGCGTTTTGTAGCGCGTTCCTATGCTCTGCAAAACGCTCAAACACCGGAATCCCATTATTTCCTATGGGTATGGTTCACACCTGGGCGTATTACAGGCCGTATGAACGCACTACAAAACGTCCTGCGCCCAAAGAAGTACAGGAGCTTCTTTGGGGCGTTTTTGTTGCGCGTTTCCATTGGGATACAGCCAAGTAGCCCTCGGAAACGCGTGTTTGTCGTGCTCTGGCAAGCTCTGGCTGTACCCGCTCCCTCCCCCGTCCGTTCTGCCAGTCAGCGCTGGCGGATCGGAGCAGGGAGGGGGGAATCCAGCCCCTCCCCTGTCACGTCAGAGAGCTGTGACAGGATTGAGAAGTGAGCGAACGCCGGTATGTATTCGCTCACTTCCCGATCTACGGAGCCGACCTGTGACAGTCTCATTGTCACAGGTCGGCTAGAACTATGAGGATGAGTGAAAAGCACTCACCTCATAGTTCTCCTTTAATTGCTTTCAGAAATATTCTAGCCTGCTGTGTGACTTGAGAAAAGGAGATTAACCATGTGTGGAGTTGCTTCACTTCCCCAGGTAAAGTCTCACAAGAATCAGCAGCCGGTCGCAGCAACAGTGGGCAAATATCTCTGGAGACCCCATAAAGACATATGCATTTATGGCTAGCATCATATAAAGATCAACTGCAATCAGTTCATTGCTATAACAATAACATCCCGTTTCATTGCTTATTGGCTGGGAGGCCGGCTTCCCGGGCAATCAGCATCGAGCCGGCTTCCCAGACAATCAGGAAGCTGGGCATCAAGTAATTTCCCGCAGACTGGCTTCCTGATTGGCCAGGTAGCCGACACCATGTTTTTTTTTATATAATCTTTATTTTTCTGTTTTCAAACAAAGGATAAATGGGTCCAACATTGACCCTGACATATAAATGAAAAGGTTACAAAAAAGGGGGATACAACGACACATACATTCACCTTGCAGTACAATGAGCGGGTACCCAACCCCGCAACGAGCCGACACCATGTTTAATCGTGGGACTGCCGGTCAGGAGATCTCCCACTGACCGGAAGTTCCGGTATCGGGATAAGTATCGGAGCATTTGGGCAAGTATGAGTACTCACCCAAATACTCGGCATCGGTGCATCCCTACTTATTTTCATAATCATGCACTATTATTATTATACTATTAGTATATTTGGATAGTTTTAGGATATCAGGCTTGTTGAAAAGTGCATGTGTATTAAAATTAAATATTTAAAGATCATTACTGGAGGAAGAGAGATGGGCTCCACAACCAGCCACTTCTCTGTGGTGCTGCTCAGTTGCTGAGATGTGAGGGGTTCACGAATCTGAGCGCACACTTCCAGCTTTCCCCCTGAAGGTTTGCGACCATCCATCACCTAGAAGAAAAAGAGATTAAACATAAAAATAATACTGTGCCAAGCTGTGATAATGATCAACCAGAGAAGGGTAGAGAATGGAGCAGGGAGAGCATAGCGGAAGACAACAGAGCAGATCAGCTACAGCAGAAAGAATGAGAGCAAGATGTAGAACAAGAGAACACAACAGATAAAGAGTGGGGAAAAGCTGGGTCTAACGAAGGCAAGTAATGCAGACGGAGCAGAAAGCAGGGGTAGAGAAAGAGTGCTTAGACGATGGTGCAGAGAGGAGAGTGTAGCGTGTAGAAGAAAACATTAAATGGAGCAGGGAACATAAAAGCAGGGTGTGGAGAAAGACAACAGAAGGAGACAGAGCATAGGAGGATGAGAGTAGGGTATAGAGGAAGATGGCAAGCAGAGCAGAAACTATGAGAGCAGGGTGTAGTAGAGGAGAACAGGGATGACAAGAGCAGGGTGCAGAGGAGGAGAGCAGAGAACATAAGAGCAGGGTGGAGAGGAGGAAAGCAGAAAGGAACAGGGTGTGGCAGAGGAGAGCAGAGAGGATAAGGGCAATGAGCAGAGGAGGAGAGCAGAGAACATAAGAGCAGGGCGTAGAGGAGGAGAGCAGAGAACATAAGAGCAAAGGGTAGAGGAGCGGAGCAGAGAACATAAGAGCAGGGCGTAGAGGAGGAGAGCAGAGAACATAAGAGCGGGGCGTAGAGGAGGAGAGCAGAGAACATAAGAGCAGGGCGTAGAGGAGGAGAGCAGAGAACATAAGAGCAGGGCATAGAAGAGGAGAGCAGAGAACATAAGAGCAGGGCGTAGAGGAGGAGAGCAGAGAACATAAGAGCAGGGCATAGAAGAGGAGAGCAGAGAACATTTGAGAGAAACAAATACATTTTACATCGCTAAATAAGGATTCTTTAACCCAAGCAATATTTATGTTTGTGTATTGAACACTTTAATGTTAAAAAGAAGCATGAAATAAAATAACGCAATAACTCGTATCTTTGGGTATTGCTGCTATTGGAAAGACAGACGAAAGCTGGGCTGAGAGAAAAGAGCACAGAGCGGAGTGAGTAGAGAGAAGAAAGGATGAGTTGGGGGCAGCGTGGATATAGCAGAGATGGGCACAGAAGGAGATCACCTCAGGATGAATATCGCTTTACCTCGAGAATATCTCGGATCTCACAGCTGTTCTCCATAGTTTCCAGTTTTAGATGCGCTGTACCCAGGACACGATCGGACTTAAACAGCCCCCTGCAATCACAGCACGCAATACAAATACATCAATATCTAAAGAGATCCATGGAACATGACTTTCAAACACTCCAATCCATCCTTTACCCTTTCTGGATGACTTCAAATTTGATCCCTTTTGCCTGGATCGCCCTTTTCAACCCTCGGTGATTGCGATTAATTTGGAGGTTGAACTTCTCCTTGAACACTAGAGAGTAATACAGGGACATGGATATAGCAATGTCACACCATTACAGAACACTGATCTCTACTCTGATAACACGTCTCTGCCATACCTGGTGAGTTGGTCCCCTTTATCACATTGGTTTTATCTCGCTGGGCTTCCTCCTGCAATGCAACGACAAGCTGGTTGAGTAAAGGCTGCATATGATGAAGATATTTAAACCGATAATTCTATCCATTTAATTTTTTTGGACTCAACCCCAGCAACCGGCATGCACCTGGTTCAATAGCAGCGCTCTTGACTGAAGTGCTCCCATTTTAAAACAGGATGGAAGTTGAGTGAAGCACAGCCCAGAATTCAGGCCCCAAGCAACGAATTCAGGCCCCAACATGGCCACCATACACCGGTTCCACGGGCCATGGCCACCATACACCGGTTCCACGGGCCATGGCCACCATACACCGGTTCCACAACAGCTGGAGGGCAGAGTTTGCCTCCTAAAGCCTCTGCTTTAGGAGCTCCTGCACTCCATGGAGGCCTTAGCTGTGACATGAAACAGTTATCCTTTCTAGATTCTCTTCAAGGAGGCCCCGTTACTTAGTCCATTCAGGGCAAAATGACAAGGTCTGTTCAAAGCCCACCCCTGACCACCTTATACTTGCCTGCAAAGCCCTAACCCCCCTTCTCCCCCCATCACATGCTCCCCTGAACCCGGCAGCAATGGGTATTTTGCAGCAGCAGCCATGGAAGAAGCAGCACAGGGGAGCAATCTTTCAATATGCACTGAATAATCTTT